AGTTCCCAAAATCACAAACTCCAGCTTGCAAACAACCCTTGTGTATAAACCAGTTGGGTGAAAGAAGGATCCATTACTACTTCTCTTGAGAACTCCTCCTTGTTGTCACCACTTTGCCCCCACTCCACTGTCCTCAGACACTAGACACCTTCAGATGGCACAACAGCAATGAAGTCCCCCACCCAGCTCCCTTTACTTAAGTCCAGAGAGTCTCCTGCATCCCTCCCCACTTGTCTCCTAAGCCTTTACTCCATCAGAACTCCTGGCAGTCCCTGACTGGGTCCCTTCAAGCCCTCCCATGCCCTCCTGACATTGGAACAGCCTTCCTATTTCTCATTACTTTTTCCCACTTTCCCTGACGGAGAAAACAGCAGCATTCTAAAACTCTTCCCAAACCTGATTTACCAGGCAAATATCACAGGTAGGGCAAGCTCTGTGTTCTCAGCACAGACACCATCCCAGCCTTAATGACAACACTGTATGAACAAACTAACAAAGAGAGTTAACTCCTGAGCTGCAAACTTGAGTGCACATCTTGATAAAATACTCTGGGCTCCTAAGCACTTTTTGAGCTTATGCACAATGATATAGCAAAGACAGTAGTAGAGAAGAGAGGGTACCATCTAGAAGGCACAGACAAGAAAGTTTTCACCATCATACTCTCATTGATGGCAGTGCTTGTGGTAAATACTAGTGTCCCCCAGGTAAATATCAGAGTAAAGGCAATTGTCCCACAGGGACACTAGAAGTGAGGGGAGGCCAGAGGTTGAGTCCCAGCCTGGTGCGAGGGCACGTGCTCTTTCTCTCCTCTTCTCTCTCTTCCTCCACAGTGTCAGGGAACACCTGTGGAATGTTGGGGGTCTGCACTGAAGACTCTCCCTTTCCTGCGTCTCCCATTCTGTCTTAGTTCATGTATACTTTTGCATCTGCACAGTGTCTGTGTAGCACATATGCTTTTACATATAAAGTAAAATAAAAGGAACGGTTATTTCCTCAGAGCTTGCAGGAAGACGATGCTCTAGGGATGGACGTGCTCTCCCCTTGGTTTTGAAAACCTTAGCAGATCAGGGGTGTGTGTGCTCCCAAGGCTGAATGAAGCCTGCATCCTGTGCTGCAGACCCAGCCTAACTAAACCAACATACTTAATGGTCTCACGTTGGAACTGAAACTTTGGGGCAATTGGTAATAAGAAATGAACTGGGTCAATTCATTCAGTTGCCCTTATGTGGTTTATCTGCTGTTAGACTCACATATTTTCTGTTCAGTTAATCCTTGATGTGAAGACCAATGCATTAATCCCTTTCAGAGACTAGAATTAAGGAAAACTCAGGGGTCCATTTGCACTGTCAGGTCTCAGTTTGCAAGTAGGACTTTTTTTTCTTTTTAATTTTTAAATAGTGAATGACATAACTTTCTATACAGTATGTCTTTGGCATTTTTGATCACTCCCTAGATGGGCCCTATTTCCCTGTACCATATCAGAAATTGTAGCCAGGAAAAAAAAAAGCCAAGTAAACACAAAGCTCACCTTTTGTACCCCCTCTGACAAGGATTGTAGTATTGTCATTCTGACTTGGGCCAAGTTTTATGAGAGCAGACAATTATTTTATAAATTTTCTGTAGGTTTTATAGTATTCAAGATATTTACTAGCTTATAATAAATATAATATAGTATAAATACTTAAGGTAATTACTGTAGTATTTAGGGTATTTTCTGGCTATTCACTGTGGCTATTCATGTGGTCTTTGAGAAACAGAAGTTGTCTTAAGAGTTGTTCCTAAATTATAATTTATTTATACAGACTTTTGACAGAGAAAAAGCTCAGGGTCAACTTTATAACCATTTCATAGATTTTCCTAATGATTTATCAATTTAATTAGAATCTTATTTGAGAATAGTCAAGTGGCTTCAGTCACTATAGTGAATGATTATTATGACAAACCAAAATAAGCCTAGGTAATCACTCCGATGCTGTGGCATAGCGGGTAAAGCTGCCACCTGCAATGCCGGCATCCCATATGGGTGCCAGTTTGAGTCCTGGCTGCTCCACTTCCAATCCAGCTCTCTGCTATGGCCTAGAAAAACAGTAGAAAATGGTCCAAGTCCTTGGGCCCCTGCACACATGTGGGAGACCCGGAGGAAGCTCCTAGCTCTTGGCTTTGGATCAGCACAGCTCTGGCCAATGCGGCCAATTGGAGAGTGAACCAGTGGATGGAAGATGTCTCTCTCTCTCTCTCTCTCTGCCTTTCCTCTCTTTATGTAACTTTGACTTTCAAATAAGTAAATAAATCTTTAAAAATAAATAAAAGCTTCCATGTTATTGAGTTTGTAAAAATTCAGAATCCATTGTCCTAAACAATGCTGACCTTGATAAGTTTATGTTACCAAAAGTTAACTTCGATTTAATAGACCACTTTAGGATATATCAACACAACTTCTTTGAGATAATAATGTTCAATGTGCCACCTGGGAATTAAGAACTTCTGTGAAAGATTGCTGATCACTAACACACAATCAGAATAAATCACCTGGAGTGAATCTTTGCTGTGTATTTTCTCAAACAGCACCCTAACGAGTCTCAGAGAGCGAAGAGAAATGATCGAAGGGATTATCTTCTTGAGCTCAGCCAAACACTTTATTTGGCAAGCAAGTTATGTAGAGCCTGGTACGTGAGGTTTTTCAGGGAAGCTTTGTTTTCCACAAAACTGCAACATACGTCAGAACTTTAGGTTATGGGAGAGGAAACATATGGAGACATGAGATCAGCCATAATACTGAGAAAGGAGGACGCTGTGCACGTCTCACACAGCCCACTTCCCTATTGTTCTGTGGAACTAGGACAGAGTTCACTGTGTTCAGTGCCCTCTTCACTTCCTTAAGGGTCTGTTGGCCATGTGCAGGCACAGAGCCTCAAACCTGTCAATACTGTGGCTATCTTGTTCCCCAATAAATCCTCCAACTCATATCTTCATATCCACCCAGTGACAGAAGCGATTATAACCTTAACGTTGGAGATTTATTGGAAAATCTTTCTCTCCCCTTCTATATCTTGCCTACTTCCAAAAACAGTCTTGGACATCTTGAAATAAGGGCACAAATGCAAGAGAACTATTAAAATGAAAGATAAGAAGCCTTTTATAAACAACCCTAGTAGAATGTACTTATAAGGAAAAGCATACATCATTTTAGCAAATGACTCTTGCTTTCACTGTTGAAGCATTTAGATAAGGAAGTTGTTCAGAGGTATGCAACTGGTGGCTCTTCCGTCATGGAGATAATTTCTCCAACGCTGTTAGATGTTTCAAAGAGACCTTTTCAGCTCCTATATATTCCTTAACCTCCAAATCTTTCCTTGTGTGTGTGTGCTTGTACATGTAAGACTGATCTGAAAGAATTCATTACTTTTCTATTCCAGTTAGGAAGTTGTGTCTGTGAGTCTGTACTATGTAACCATCACAACTGAATGGACAGAATGCCACATGGAGAAGGGAGGAAGGGCTTACTTACATATTTCCCTTCTGGGGCCCTAAATTGGACTTGAACGCACATAATTTGCACTCACATGCATGCCACTCCATAACCAATGTAATCAGAGTTTTCCCACCCATTGATAACCAAGATAGAAAGCCAATTAGGCTGGCGCCATGGCTCAATAGGCTAATCCTCCGCCTGCGGAGCCGGCACACCAGGTTCTAGTCCCGGTTGGGGCACCAGATTCTGTCCCGGTTGCCCCTCTTCCAGGCCAGCTCTCTACTGTGGCCCGGGAGTGCAGTGGTGGATGGCCCAAGTGTTTGGGCCCTGCACCCCATGGGAGACCAGGAGGACGCACCTGGCTCCTGGCTTTGGATCAGCATGGTGCGCCAGCCGCAGCGGCCATTGGAGGATGAACCAATGGCAAAAGGAAGACCTTTCTCTCTGTCTGTCTCTCTCTCTCTCTCACTGTCCACTCTGCCTGTCAAAAAAAAAAAAAGCCAATTTTATTTCAACCTAAACTCAAAGCCATCATTTTGAGGGTCACACCAAAATAGTTTTTAGGCTATTTAAATAACATACTCAAAAATCAGTTTTAATTTTGTTGTACAGTATTTCTCCTGGGTCTTCCCAATAGTATGTTTATCTAAAGGGTATCCCCAACTGTCTCCCACTAAGTGGTGTGAATGTTGATTTACTGGAGTGCAGATGTTTCTGAGACATTCCCCTATTAGTGAACTTCTCCTTCTGTGCTGGTCCTCACTGTGTGTTGTAGAGAAAACAGTCACTGGGGACATTGTGTTCCATGAGTTTCCAAGAGTAAGTACCTGGGGAGCAGGGGAGCTTTAATTGGTATTTGACCATAGGCCACTCACTCAAATACTTGCACATGGGCTTGGCTTCATCCCATGTAAAATGGGGTCTTCAGAGAACTTTCCCACTGTAACTTCTCATATTCAAAAGTAGCACCTGTCTATTCTACATATATGTTCTAAATGAAATCTGCTTCCCAGATACTATATCAAAGACTGAGGGTTTTTTTCTATCATAAATACATAAACTTACCTTATTTCATGGACTTGGGTATCCTACAGGCCCAAAAAAGTCAATCTCATCCCCACCCCAGCAATAATACACATATGGACACACACATAGAGAGAAAATACAGCATCTGTATCAGTAATAATCATGACAAGACTATACTATATTAATAAAAGTAAGGGAGGGGCCGGTGCTGTGGCGCAGTGGGTAAAGCTCCCGCCTACAATGCTGGCATCCCATATGGGCACCAGTTCAGGTCCCAGCTGCTCTGCTCCACTTCTGATCCAACTCTGCTGTGGCCTGAGAAAGCAGTGGAAGATGGCCCAGGTCATTGGGCCCCTGCACCCACATGGAAGACCCGGAGGAGGCTCTTGGCTCCTGGCTTTGGATCAGCGCAGCTCCAGCCGTTGTGGCCAGTAGGGGAGTGAACCAGCAGATGGAAGACCTCTTTCTCTCTCTTTTTCTCTCTCTCTGCCTCTCCTTTAAAAAAATCAAATAAATAAAGGGAAGTAGAATGAGATTGAGAATACAATTAATATAGAATAGCACAATTAGCAGTTTTCAAATTACATAGCCACATAGTAAGGAGTAGCTGATAGGCACATTATTGGTTTTTATAGCTTTTATGATTCTGAAAGGAATAACAGACTAATATAAGTTCTAGGTGTGGGTGTTTTCATTTTATTAAAATTTGAAAAAAACATATTCATAGAATTTACATATTTTTCCTATCTATCTACCTTTTTAATGCTGGAGCTGACAGTGAATCTGAAATTACATTGATAAATAACAAGATTTTTCTTCAGAGACCAGGGAAATATTAGCTAAAATATTATAGAAGGAACTTGTGACATTAATACTTGGATAGATCTGAAAGGACAGATAACACAGCAGAGCAATGGAATTATCAAATTACTCTCTTGCTACTGGTAGTTATGTTTTATATTCAAAATTATGCTGAGGAATTTAGGGCATGCCTATTGAAACATGAATATTAAAAAGTTGCAAATATTTCCACAAAATCCTCATTATACACCATATTGCAAAATCACTGCCATACTTTAGATTGACTGCAATTGTTACGTGTTGGTAATAATTCAAGCAAGATAAAGTTAAAAGTTCTAAACACTTTGGACTTGTCCCTTACAATTAAAGAGCCTTTCTGTTGGACAAATTCTTTTCCTCTTAAAGACCCATAAATAACATTGCAGGCCCTGCTTTTGGCTTCTGAAAGGTAGTCTACCAAGAGTAATATACTCAGCTGGAAGTACTGCCAGGAAGAATATGCTCAGCTGGGAGTACTTTTGAGCCAATCTTTGAGAGATTTACAAAAGAGAAGTTGCCATAAATACGCACTATTTAAAACTAGAGACATAGGGTGACATAGGAGACATTGTGGGTCAAATCATCCTCACTCCTCAGGGTCCTTGGGCTGGAGACCAGACCTGTTTGGAAATCTGAGGTCCTCTCTGTAACTTCCTGAGAGGTGCTATTGCCCTGGCCGGTGAAGGAATCTTTCTCTTCATTCTGGGGGTCTAAGTGTGGAGCACAGCGTTTTGGATTGCTCTGTGAATGATAAAGACTCACCATGATAAATTAGGCAATAAAACATGACTAAATATGCATTGACCATAATTAAACAATTAAACATCTCAAACTTTCACAGGAAACAAGATGAAAATGATAGGATGGACTTTCCGAGTCCTCACGTACCTCCTGGCAGCTGATGCTGTGTCCAAAGAGATGATCTTTGGTAGCTAGTGAGGCTACTTTTTCTCTGCACAGTGAGGCAGGGCAGAAATTTATTATTATGTACAATATGCTGATGAGAAAACTGAGAGTAATAGAAAATGAAGTGACATAACCAAATATCACAAGCCACAAAAAATAAAACTAATTTAAAAGATAATAGGCATGGAGTAGAAGCTCACACAGGGATCAAGGCGGTCCTTTGAGGTAAAGAACATTTAACACATGGCCAAAGAATTGAAAGTTTATTTAAAAAGTAGTAGGAGTCTGTGAATGCAACTTGATACGGTGGGTGACACTGGTGTTTAATGGAAGTTACCCATGTAGCAAAGAATGAGATTGGCAGAGAGAAATTACCATCTATATGGGCAGGTACTAAATTTTAATAATAAAAACTATTCATTATTATGTTCTAACACCTTTACAATGGACTTTATATGCACGTTTATGTAATCTGAAAGCAAAGTAATATTATAAACTCCATAAAAAATTCTTGCATAGAGAAGCATTACAAGGTCACCTACAATTAAGTGATAAAACCCAGATTCAAAGCAATGTCTATTGCTTTCCAGTAATCATAATCAAATCTTCTAATACAGGTTGAACATCTCTAATCCCTAAATCCAAAAAATCTCAAATGCTCAAAAATTCAGGAACTTTCTGAGTGCTGACATGTTGTCATAAGTGGTAAATTCCACATCTTACCTCATATGGTGGGCTGCAATCAAAATGCAGGTATTCTAAAAATATTGCATAAAATTAATATTAAGTTCTGTGTATAGCCTATATGTGAAAAAGTTTTGTAGTTAGACTTGGATCTCATCCCCTGTAAATCCCATTTGGTATATATGCAAATATTCTATCATCTGAAAAACCAGGAACCAGGATCTCAGTCCGGGTCTCCCTTGTGGGTGACAGAGACACAGCTACTTGATCCATCAACTACTGCCTTCCAGAGTGTGCATTAGCAGGAACCTGGAGTTGGGAATGGAGTCAGGACTCAAACCCAGGCACTCTAAAAAGGGATACAGGCATCTGAAGTGGTGGTTTAACCACCAGCTCAAATGCCCACCCCTAGCCACATCATCTTGCTTTCCTTTTTTAAAAGATTTATTTACTTGAAAGGCAGAGTGACAAAGAGAAGGAAAGACAGAGAAAGCGACCTTTTATTGCTTAGAAAACATATATGAACTGAATAGACTACTTGAAAAGAAGATGGGTTGGTAGAACAGATACATCTTTGAGATCCACATTAACAGAGGTAAGCAAATATATCTTTGTTTCTAATTTCAAAAAAAATTCAGATAATAACACAACATAATGGAATATGTCAACAATGGGGACACCAGCAAAGAGAGAACAATGACAGTGACAAGAAGACAAGAAAGGGGCATGTGTAATCAGGTCTCTGCAGCTTGCCTTAGGTCCAGCAAGGTCAGTGAACATGTCGAGTCCCAACTTTAATGGTGTTGACCTGGAACAGCCTGGGTTCCCAAACTTTAGAATGCATCTGCACATCAGGGTGTGCACAAATTAAAAGGCACGTGTGGCAGTCTCTGGGCCAGAACTCATGGGCCAGACCAGGACGAAAACATAACCATTTCCCATGTCTCTTCCTCTTTCAGCATGTCAAGAGGGAAGCTTCTGAATCAGAACCATCCCGGGGTTTTGGTGTCTTTTGCAATCGGATCAGACATCTGAGTGAAGACTGGAAACTGTCCACTGCTATTCACTGTGTAGCTGCCAAACCTGCTGCACTCCTGGGAACCAAGACCCCTGAATTTCAGGGTCCATTCACAAATCCTTGCAAGGAAGGAACAAAAATACTTTGTAGGGAAATGAATTCAGTCTCAGCAGCACAGCTCTGACCTTGGAGACAGGACAAACAAAGCTGCTGTTAGGAATAAAAACAGGCTCAGTGTCTTTCTCATTATGGTTTCCCCTGCTTGAGCCCCTCAAAACCTCTTCTATTGTGTCCAGGTCTGAAAGCTTTCAGTAATCTAACTGAGCCTCTCTAATTGGGTGCTTGTGGTTCAGACTAGTTTTTATTAAAAAAAATAAACTCACCACCACCACAGCCTCTGGAGTGCACCTGGAACATGTTTATAGAGAAGACATTTTTGTGTCTATTAACGTTACACAAAGGCCATTACACAAAGGCCTAGGAAGCCTCCCTAGCCTCAGCAGGCTCCGTTGGTCCACATGTCAGTGCTTGATGTCACTAGTTATACATCACTGCTGGTGACAATTTGCAGGGTTTGAAGAAATCTGTCCCTTCCATCAGCCAGGCTATTTGAGTGAACAGTTCCTTAAGGGACTGCCAAAACATCCCAGTTTTCATTTTGGGTTGAGGCTGCAGGAAAGAGGCTGCTTCAAAGTAGGCATATATGAAACACCTACTATCTCCCTGTGTGTCCAGCTCCTGGCAGGTGACATACACAAGGGGACTTCAAGAGGTTTATTGTACAATGAAATTAAAAGATAAGTTTCTCTCGGTGTAAAGAAATTTTTAAATCATGCATTTTTTATAATATACATTTTTTGTGAACTTTCTGAAGAACTTTAGTATGCCTGCCTAACTACAATTGTCTCTGCAGTGTATTTGAGTTTCTGGTTTTGCAGTTGAAGTCAGTGAGGTACAGAAAGATTGACTTGTCCTACATCATACAAGTAAGTGTTGAAGCCAAAATGTGGAGTTCAGCCCATCCAAATCCAGAGCCTCTTCTCTTATTATAGTACATAACCTCTTAATGTAATTTTCAGTTCACACAAAAATCACTTTAAGAGCCTCACTGAGAATATCCAGATGGAGTAGAAGCACAAGGACAAAGGGTCAGCCGATCTGGGTTTGGGCTCCGTGCCTGCTGAGGCAGAATCCTGGGGTATCTGCTGGGCCATTTTCTTCCTTGGGGATTTGATTGACTTCCTTGCTGGAGGAAGGCTTTGAACACAAGTTATGGATCACACAACCACTTTGTCAAGAACTAAGAAGAAAAATGTTCCACAAGGGTAAGCCAGCAAGAGGAGAACCAAATTAATTTCAATTGCTGCCAGGGGAAAAGAAGACATTTCAGCAATTGATACCAAATGCCGGCTCTTAGGAGCAGAGCACAACAGCAAGCGACTTCAAGTTCAAACTGACCGGACTGATTAATAGAAACCATCAAGTAATTGCCTACTAATAGCTGCTGCTTGAAAGGCACACGGACACCTGTGAAGTCTCAGCACCACCCGACCCAAGCATTCCACAGTACCTGAAAAGAAAGCATAGATTCCATGACTGTATACAATGTATGGAGATGCCACTTCTTATTGCTGCACTTGAAGGTGACTGATTTACATATATTTCTTATTTTTTCCTCCCCACAGAATATTTTTGTACACAATAAATGTTGAAGCAAGAAAGGAATGAGATGCAAGAAAGCAGAAAGAACACAACAAGTTTACCTGAAAACAAATGTGCATTTCACTCAGGTGAGAAATACAATTCTTAGTAAGATGACAAATTAGACATACATGGATATCTGATAAACCACCACAACCAAAAATTCTATAAAATACATGGAAACCCATTTTTTAATATTTCTTACTAGACTGAGGTCTGACTCTGCATACTGCTTTTGTGTGAATAAAAAATGGCATTAAGTGAGTCATCACCATGAGTCATATGCCTATGATTGAAATAATTCCTGCAGAGTTACTTATGTCTTGAACCAAAGCGCAAGACCCCACCTTGTACTTCGCATGATGATTGTGTGTTAGGAAGCCTTCTGCAAGCAGCAAGATAATGAGTGCAGAGCATGTGGCAAGGTCTAACCAGCATGGGTGTGGTGTTTACAAGCCTAAATCTGTGTAAGATTGTTCCACATGTGGTTTGTGTTAAGGAAGACCCAGAAAATGTTGTGGCATTAGCAGTGGGCTGGATCCAAAGTGGAGCAGTCGGGACTCGAACTAGTGTGCATACAAGATGCCAGGGGCTCAATCCACTGCACCACGATGTCAGCCCCCCACTTCAGTCTTTAAAGAAGCAAATATTTGCTCATGAACCCTCGCGCATGGATCTCTTCTTAGTGCTTTGGGAAATGTAGGATATGTGAAGGTGTCTTAGCTCATTTTATACTGCTGTAGCAGAACACCTAAGACTGGGTAATTTATGAAGAAAAGTTTATTCTCTCACAGTTCTGTAGGCAGGGAAGCCCAGGATCAACGTGCTGGCATCTGCTGTGGGCCTCCCCGCTGTGTGCTTGCAGGCCAAAGGGCAGAAGAGAGAGAACCCACTCCATAAAGGCCTTTTCATAGATACATGGATCCCTTCATGAGGGAGGGGCCCTCATGACTTAACCCCTCTCCCCCCAAACCTCACCTTCCAACACTGCTGCATTAGGGATAAAGTTTCCAGGACATATATTGTGTGAACGCATCCACAGTGGAGGCCCAGATCATGGATAGTACAGCCAAATTCCACCTGGATAAACTAGGCTTGCAAGGAACAAACACTCACGGGATTTCATTAGCCTTGACAAACTATTCAAACTTTCAACTCCCCTGAGTTTACAAAGAAGAGAATACAAAACAAACATTAATTTTCTGGCTTGGCAGGGACTTGTTTACAATTCTAAAAGGCATTCCTATTTGAATTCTTTTAGTAATGCAATTATTAATAAAAATAAGCAAAATAAATAAACAATTCCAGTTGTCCCTTGGTAGCTGTGAGGGATTGGTTCCAGGACTCCCACCCAGCCCCTACCAAAATCTGCAGATGCTCCAGTCCTTTACCTAAAATTGTGTAGTATTTGCATAGAAGTTATGCACCTCCTCTCGTATACTATAAATCATCTCTGGATGACTTTTAATACTGAGTGCAATAAAAATGCTATATAAATAGTTGTTTCACTGTATTGTCTAGGGAATAGTGACAAGAAAAATTATTCTGTACATGTTCAGTACAGATGTATTTTTCCCCAAATGTTTTCCATCTGCAGTTGGTTGAATCCATGGATGCAGAAGCCACAGATACAAAGGTACAACTGTCACTGCACAGACTGCCAAGGGGACATACAAAGATGTTTGTAAAAATCCCTGAACTCAGGACAATGACAAGAAAAACCTAGGCCATGGAGAAGTCAGTTAGACATTGTGGCAAGACACTAACATACTGAGACCAGCACATGATCAGTGGATACATTTCTGCCCTACTGCACTTCACATGTCCGCATTTAGAGTCCTAAAATGATTGCTGGTTTTTTGTTGCAGTGAGTTAAGCCGCGACCTGTATCACTGGCATCCCATATCATAATGCTGGTTTGAGTCCTGGTTGCTGATTCAGCTTTCTGGGAAGGATAGGCTCCTGCCAACTCACATGGGAAACTAGGATGGAATCCTTCCTCCTCGCTTCAGTCTGGACCAACCCTGGCTGGGTTGTCACCTGGGGAGTGAACCAGCAGATGGAAGATTTCTCTCTCTCTCTCTCCCTCCCTCCCTCCCTCCCTTCCTCTCTCTCTCTTGCTCCCTCTCTCTTTGCTGTTCTGCCTTTCACATAAATAAATAAATCTTTGAAAAATGAAGCCTTCGGCCGGCGCCGCGGCTCACTGGGCTAATCCTCCGCCTAGCGGAGCCGGCACACCGGGTTCTAGTCCCGGTCGGGGCGCCGGATTCTGTCCCGGTTGTCCCTCTTCCAAGCCAGCCCTCTGCTGTGGCCAGGGAGTGCAGTGGAGGATGGCCCAGGTGCTTGGGCCCTGCACCCCATGGGAGACCAGGAAAAGCACCTGGCTCCTGGCTCCTGCCATCGGATCAGCGCGGTGCGCTGGCCGCAGCGCGCCGGCCGCGGCGGCCATTGGAGGGTGAACCAACGGCAAAGGAAGACCTTTCTCTCTGTCTCTCTCTCTCACTGTCCACTCTGCCTGTCAAAAATAAAAAAAAAAATAAAAATAAAAAAAGAAAAAAAAAGAAAAATGAAGCCTTCATTATTAGCAAGTTGCTTACACCCAAAGGGATGGGACCAAGACTTCATCTGATGTTTGCCTTTGTGGTATGGACACATTCTTCTACCATATGTCGATTGCACATTTATGAGATGGTAAGGGCTCTTGTTAGTTCTTTCAGAAGAGAAGTATTAGACATTTAAAACTTGGCGAGTTTTCCGGCAGTATTCACATGGGTTCATGACATTTCCATGAAGCTGGCTAACACATCACCTATCAACCACTCTGACACTGTTCACACCAAAACACTCAGGGCAGTCAGTGGTGAGGCTCTGGAGTCTGATTAACCTGAAAGTATCAAACTCCCAAATTCACCCCAGCCTGAAGATTCTAGGAACTTTCATACATTCTTTTTTTTGACAGGCAGAGAAAGAGAGAAAGAGAAAGAGAGAGAAAGGTCTTCCTTCTTCCGTTGGTTCACCCTCCAAGTGGCCGCTACGGCTGGCGAGTTGCGGCCAGCGCGCAGCAGCGATCCAAAGCCAAGAGCCAGGTGCTTCCTCCTGGTCTCCCATGCAGGTGCAGGGCCCAAGCACTTGGGCCATCCTCCACTGCACTCCTGGGCCACAGCAGAGAGCTGCACTGGAAGAGGAACAACTGGGACAGAATCTGGCACCCCTACCGGGACTAGAACCCGGGGTGCCAGTGCTACAGGCAGAGGATTAGCCTAGTGAGCCGCGGCGCCGGCCTCATACATTCTTTAATTCAAAAAATATTTATCAAACTTAAGGCAGTGTTCAGGATACAAAAATGAGTAACAATACATCTTTGCTTCCAACACCTCAACATTTGTGCCGTAAGAGAGTCATAGTTTGAACTGTTACATGGGTCGGAAAATACCTTTAAAATTATTCAGAGTTTTCTGTAATAAATCAAATCTAGCTTATCAGAAAATCATTTCCTAGGTGAAAAAAATTTTTGCTAGAAGGAAAGAAATTTTATACTACCTTGAAATAGTCACAGTGTTTTAGCCCATCTTTCTGTGATGCTTAAGTTTAAAATTTTACACAGTAAATTTATTACTGATTTAAAGCAGCCACTGATTCAATGCAAAAGCCTAACACTATTTGTTAAAAGAATGTGGAATATTATTAGTCTTTTGCAATAATGGAAGATCAAAGCTCTTCAAAATAGTAATGTTATGTCTACTGAATTATTTGAAGATAAAAAGAAAAAGTAAAAACTTCTAGCTCAGGGGCTGGCACTGTGGCTTAGCGGGTAAAGTCACTGCCTGCAGTGCCAGCATTCCACAGGGATGCTGGTTCAAGTCCCACCTGCTCCACTTCTGATCCAGCTCTCTGCTATGGCCTGGGAAAGCAGTAAAAGATGGCCCAAATCCTTAGGCCCCCGCACCGGCGTGGGAGACCCATAGCAAGCTCCTGGTTCCTGACTTTGGACTGGCATGGCTCCGGCCGTTGCAACCATTTGGGGAGTGAACCAGCAGATGGAAGACTTTCTCTTTCTCTCTCTCTGCCTCTGCCCTTCTGTAACTCTGCCTTTCAAATAAATAAAGAAATCTTTTAAAAAAATCTTCTAGATATTACAAGTAATTTGATCTCAGGACTAGAAAAAGTTGTTAGTGAAACAACTTTGGAAAGCTGAATGAAGTATGAAGTTTAATTAATAGTATGGTTCCAACATTAAGTTCTGTTTTGATAAATGTATCATGCTTATATAGAATGTTAACATTAGGATAAACTGAATGGAGAGTACATGAGAATTCTGTTTTGTTTTTGCAACCCCTCTGTAAATATAGAATTATTTGAAAACAAAACTACTATAGAATGATGCATATCCAAGTTATTCTTGAAAGCTATTCAGTTTTTCTCATATGTTAACATTATGTAATAAGCATGCAATGAGAGCACCTGAATTTGGCCAGATAGCATCAGAATTTTGTATATTCCTGGGGATAAGCAGGTAATCACAGGCTTCAGTGGCTGTTTCAATAATGAAATATCCCACTCTGCTGTGAAATGGAGAAACAAAAGTGTATAATTATCTACAAAAGTAGAGCTAGAGGGATCCCAAGGTACCTTTTTTTCTCAGTACTTCTCAACTTATCCACTCATACATTTCTCATATCCAGAGAGTTAAGTACACTCCAGAAGGTTTGTCAACATTTCAATCTACAGATGAAAACTATCCTCCAGGTCTCATGGTTGAATCTGACAAATTCATGCGATTAAATGTTTTATATTACTTATTTACTTAACTGTTTTCTGAAATGTTCTTGTAAAATCAATGCCCCTAAAGAGTGATGTACTTTGTAATTGCTTGAGAAACTGTCGCTCCCCCACTCACGGAGGAACGACCCCGGACCCTGCGCTGTTCTCTTTCCCCAGCCCTTCCCGGGTTTGCTGCCGCTCCCCCGCCTCCGTGGAGGGGCGGCACCGGCGAGCTCTCCAGCCGACTCTCTCAGGGGGGGCGCAGCCGCACATGTTGTCTCTCTCCCCCTTTTAAGGGGTTGGGCCAGGAATCAGCTAATTAATGACGCAGCTGTGTAAGATTTGTTTACTCCCTCTCAGCGCCATATGATGGAAGATCAGGTGCATAGAGTTAGTCTTAATAGTCTCAGTGGTCTAGTCCAGTCTCGGTAGTTTCAGTACTTATTTGTCCATAGTCTCAGTACTTATTTGTCCCCCGGGCACCCTGCCATGTTGCAGGAGACAGGCCCTGCTCCCCACAGAAACATGTTAGCTTATTAGACCATGTTGATTCAAGACTATCACTAGTCTTAGACATGGCACTGTGAAATCTGGCGGAAAGGGAAAGGAGTGGACAGTAGTTTGAGAAGGATCAAGGTACTGGCGCAACAAAGTTGATGCTATTCACTCAAGATCTCTCTGAAGTGCAGGAAGACCAACACTGAGAAGAGTGGGTCTTGGGCATGTGAATGCCACTTCCCCTTCTCCAACTGTGGGGTGCATCAGCCAGGGAGGCTTTCACCCCAGAGAGCTGTGAGGCCATTTCTCTTGTTATATTCCCTGAATTCTTCCTTTTATATTTGATCAGCCCTTGTCTTGTGTCCTTATGGGGGTGAGAAGAAGCTTTCTTAATATCCTGAATTCTGTCAATTCAGGGCACTGGCTTGCATTTTAAAGTGCTGTTTCTTTTTTTTTTTTGACAGGCAGAGTGGACAGTGAGAGAGACAGAAAGGTCTTCCTTTACCTTTGGTTCACCTTCCAATGGCCACTGCGGCCAGTGCACCGTGCTGATCCGAAGCCAGGAGCCAGGTGCTTCTCCTGGTCTCCCATGCGGATGCAGGGCCCAAGGACTTGGGCCATCCACCACTGCACTCCTGGGCCACAGCAGAGAGCTGGTCTGGAAGAGGGGCAACCAGGACTAGAACCCGGTGTGCTAATCCACTGCAGGCGGAGGATTAGCCTAGCGAGCCACAGCGCCAGCCAAAGTGCTGTTTCTTTCAGCTACCATGAAGCCTGTCCCATTGGTCAGACCATCTTCACAGAGTCTGAAACAATGAATGAGAACGTGGGACCTTGCGAGGCCCTCTTCAGTCGGGTCTACAAAGCATTAGGTAAAGAAAATCCAATCTGATAACTCGAGGCAGAACACAGCAGAGTGCAGCTCTGCTTTGAGAAATTCTCACCCTACATTCCATTTGTATAATCAAGGGAAGGCCAGTGTGAATGGTCTGGATAATCTCCCAATTTATGGATTTGTTTGGCTTAATCTCCTGACTGGACATTCATTACTCACATGGAGTTTGCACAATCATTCAGGAAACTCAAGGCTTGTTTGCCTGTTTGTTTTCCTTTCAATTCTAATTGATGAGAGATGTTAGTATGGTAAAAAAAAAATACTGTTCTTCCTAGTATTTTATCAATTAATTAAATCTGCAGGACAATGTACACTGATGCAAATCATAATTAGTCTGATAAACTAAAAACCACACATACTACATTTCACACTCAAGTTAAAAAAAAAGTGGAATAGGAAATCTAACACCCATGATTCTGGTATAGTTAATTGTTAGCACAGCTCCCAAGGCATATTTCTCCCCATAATGGAGTCAATAAAGAAATCATATCAGTCTCTAAACAAACCAAACTTTGGTAGACTTGGTATGCTCCTAAATAATTCTAAGAATTGGATGGTATGTGACTCTTGGATCTCAAGCTCCAAGAAACTTCACACAGACACATGCAGTGGGGCATGTTAATAAAAGTCACAAAAGAGATTTTGGTAATATGGCACTATGACATTTTAGCATTGTCATTTATTTCCTGTTTTGTCACAAGTTAAGAGTACTTCCACTGATGCCCTTTTGAATACATGTCGAAACATTTTTTAGAAATTGGGAAATATAGTTTGCCAAGCTTATAATTTACTCATTTTCAAGGGTTGTAAGTATAAATCAGAGTTGTCTTTCTCACATGATATCATTCCAGTCCCAGCATATGGTTGAAAGGACATAGTTAGATTCACCTATCCCTATTATTCATGGAATAATCAGTGCATTGGATTTCCTCCTCTGGGTTTCCCATTCCTAAGGAAAGAAATGTGAAATTTAATCAGACCACATCCTATAGGAGGTATGAAAATCTTTCAACATTGTTTGCTTGCTTGTGGTGTTCATTCTTTTTGCCTGGTATAATTTCTAAAATTGCATAAAGAAGATATGACTTTACAAAACAAAAATCTCTCATTGTGATTCTTGATAGTCCTCCAACAAAAGATAACAGTACACCTTCTGGAATCTGGAAGTGGGAAAATGCATCCCAGCAACAGAAAATGGAAGTCAAGCTGTACAACATCAACCTTGATTTTAGGGCCCAGGTATCCCTCCCACTTCTGCCACCCAAACACGACATGATAGACTGTTAGCTGTCTTACAGTTTATAAGAGATCTTAGTATTTGTCTGCTTCAGCAACTATAAAAATACTTTAGACTTGTAAAGAACAGAAATTTATTTTTCATGATTCTAGCAGCTGGATAGCCAAGATTAAGGGTCTGGCAGAGTCAGTATATGTGGAGGGCTTGCTTCCTTCACAGACACACATCTTCCATCGTAACCTCACAGAACAGAAGGGGCTTGCTAGCTATAGAGGGTCTCTTTTAAAGGGCATTAATCTCATTCATGAGGACTTTTCCCTCATGTCCTAATCACATACCAAAGCCTAACCTTCTAATACTATCACTGTGGGAATTAGGTTTCCACATATGAATTTAGGATAGAGGGCATGACACAATATTCAACTTCAGAAGATTTACTAGTGAGAGACAACTTTTGTGTTACACTGTGGCATCTCTAATTTATATTTATAGCATATTTCCCTTCTCTCATCCTTCGATGTTTTTGGAAAACACTATTCATATATATGCTGTTTGCTCCCAGTGGGGTATCAGTTTTCCTTCTTTACCCCTGTAACAGGCCTGAGCAGATGGCACGGACCTGAGCAATCACAATATTCCATGACCCTGCACTTGATCTTAGACCCTGAATACACTTAGCAGAACAGAAACTAGCACATGATGCAGGTAGGGACGTTGGGAGTCTCCTGGAACTGATGTGTACCAGAGTACTTCAAAACATTCATGGAACATGTGATTATAAGATGTTTATTTTGATACAATGATAGTAAAATCCATGCATAGAGTTTTCACAATATATATTTCCATAAACTTTTTGAGAACTCCTCATATATATGATTTCAAAGTTCTTTTACACCAAGGTAAACATATCTTTTAATTCCATTTTTCCATAATCTATTTGAAGTACACGTGTACCTATAGAGAACAGTACTACTGGCTCTCTACTGCTTTTCATGTGGAGATAGGTGATCCTACTGACGGGGGCTGTCTGTATAGGGTGTTTTTATATGGGTGGTCTGTACTTGTTGACCGAGTGCACAGAGCCATGGGAAAAGATTAGGACAGTGGACCTTCTAGTGGACCTAGTCCTGGAGAACAGAAGAGTAGCAGTGGTGCAGTCACACGGACCTCCTGAGAATAAGTCAAGAAGACTGAAAAAGGTCAAGGCTAACACTAACAGCATGAATTTCAGACTTTTTAAAGCCTTAAATCAATGGATATACCAACCAACCACAGGAACATGATGCAGGATCAAGACCCGTACAAGTTTAGACCTCAGTCAATCTCATGATTTCACAGATACCTACATACATAGGGCTGCATGCTTAGTAGGAAAAAATTATTTTGCAAAATAAAATAAAAAAAAAGGGCTCCAAACTCATCAAAAAGCATGTGGATCCCAGGGATGGATCCTTCCTCTTGTCATCTGCACCAGGTATCCTACATCCCAGTATGGCCTTCTGTTGCTTTTCTCAATTCTCAGCATCTTCCTATCATGTCACAATGTCCCATGGATGGCAGTCGGGAGTCAGAGAAAGGAGTTGTATTGTAGCTGTCAGAAGTTTAATTGAAAAGTAAAAGCGAAAAGATACAGAAGTATTGGCACAATCTAGGGGTTAAGTCATACTATATTTTATTCTACTGTAAAAAAAAGTTTAAGAATACATCAAGGAAAAAATAAATAAGGATAAAATTAGAAATAAAGAAGAAAATAAGGAGCTTCACTTCATGGAGTGATCACTTATTACAGGTTTTGCCCTCTTTTATCCCTTTCAAGTAATTCCACATTCCTATTCCTAAGGTCCCTTTGTGGCCTTGTGAAAGGAGTCAATAATATCCACTCTTTTTAAAAAAAGATTATTTATGTATTTGGAAAGCAGAGTGACACAAAGATAGAGACAGAGTCGTGCAGAGAGGTCTTACATCTGCTGGTTAACCCCCCATATGGCCACAACAACCAGGGCTGGGCCAGGCAGAAGCCAGAAGCCAAGAAGTCCACTCTGGTCTCTGATGTAGGTGGCAGGGTCCCTAGTACTAGGGCCATCATCCGCTGACTCTCAGGCCCATTAGCAGGAAACTGGGTGGGAAGTGAAGCAGCTGGGACGCAACCGGCACTCTGTTTTAGGACGCTGCTGTCCAAGCGGTAGCTTAACCTACTCTGCAACAATGCTGGCCTCAAATTCTTCAGTCAGTCCTAGTCAGAATAATGTTTTGATAGGAAAAGAGAAATTAAAAGTCAAAAGTTGGGCCGGCGCCGTGGCTCACTAGGCTAATCCTCCGCCTTGCGGCACCAGCACACTGAGTTCTAGTCCCAGTCGGGGCGCTGGATTCTGTCCCAGTTGCCCCTCTTCCAGGCCAGCTCTCTGCTATGGCCAGGGAGCGCAGTGGAGGATGGCCCAAGTGCTTGGGCCTGCACCCCATGGGAGACCAGGATAAGTACCTGGCTCCTGCCATCGGATCAGCGCGGTGAGCTGTCCGCAGCGCGCCAGCCGCGGCGGCCATTGGAGGATGAACCAACGGCAAAAGGAAGACCTTTCTCTCTGTCTCTCTCTCTCACTGTCCACTCTGCCTGTCCAAAAAAAAAAAAAGTCAAAAGTTGGCCCAATTTTTTTTTCCTGTGATTCACATACCTTCTAGGATCTTCTGGATCCACAGAATAACTCATCAAAACCATGAACTCTCTTAGCCATGCCTTTTAGTTACCTACAAAAGGAACAATGATAAGCCCACCCTTTGTGTTTGTTAATGCCCCCCCCCCATACCCAGATGCCACACTGAACACCTGCCCCATGCCTGGAAGCCCTTCATTCAGAATGCAGAATCACAGCACCCAATTGGTCCAGTGACCTCTTTTGGCAAAACTGCAGGCCCTAAAAACCCACACCATCCACCAGACTGTGACTTGCTAGGAGTACTTCTTTAGGAATTTACTACACGTCATTTTAGGAGGAGTTCCTCCTAGTATCTAACCTAAATTTTACATTTTCACTCAACAGTAATGGTTAGCTTCAAAACAAAACAAAGCTTCCATCTGCCTTTTTTGTAAACCATGGCAGGATTTTTGGGAATAGACTGCACAGATCTCATGTTCCATGCATTTACTCATGTCTCTGGATTTCCTGCAAACTCCCACACACATTTCCCACATCCTGCTTCCCTTGAAGAGTAAGGATATCACAGGTCTGCTCAGGATGGAGCAGAATGGAATAACTGAACCACAGTTGCCTCAAAGTCCACTTCGTAATGAGTCCTCCAGATTGCCCCTCCATGCTGCAGGCATTGCTATGGCCTGTGATGAACCAGACTCTGATTCTTCTTTGTTCTTTTCCTCCAGGGCAGGTGCCCACACTCTCTCCTGCTCTGAGTCTCTGCCACCCATGCAGGAAACCTGAATGGAGCTCCTGGCCCTGGGCTCTGGGCTCTGGGCTGACATATCCCTGGGAGTTGTGGGCATCTGGGGAGTGAACCAGTGGATGAAGGATTTCTCTCCCTATTTCACTCTCCCTTTCAAATAAATAAAAGTAAATAAAAAAAATTGGTGAAAACAGTGATGCAAGGGTCAAAAAATTCATCCTTTCTTTTCAAATTGTTTCATCTTTCTTGCTATTTTCCCATGTATTTGAAATTAATTTCTTTACTCACAGAAAGTGATGGAACTTTTTATACTTAATAGAATCTACTTCTAAGATGTCAAAGCAATGTTACTAAGCATTTTAAATCTAGCTTTATAGTATTTAATCTATTATATTTACATGAATTCATTTTATATTCATACTTAAATAGACCTTATGCAATTATTCATTGATTCAATAAATATGTATTGAAAACTTGTAGCATGCCAGAGGAAGAGACAATGATAAAAGGCTAACAGTTTGGGATGGTCTGAAAAATGGATGATAGGGGCTGGCGCCGCGGCTCACTAGGCTAATCCTCCACCTGCGGTGCCGGCACCCCGGGTTCTAGTCCCGGTCGGGGCGCCGGATTCTGTACCGGTTGCCCCTCTTCCAGGCCAGCTCTCTGCTGTGGCCAGGGAGTGCAGTGGAGGATGGCCCAAGTACTTGGGCCCTGCACCCCACGGGAGACCAGGATAAGTACCCAGCTCCTGCCATCGGATCAGCGCGGTGAGCTGTCCGCAGCGCGCCAGCCGCGGCGGCCATTGGAGGGTGAACCAACGGCAAAAGGAAGACCTTTCTCTCTGTCTCTCTCTCGCACTGTCCACTCTGCCTGTCCAAAAAAAAAAAAAAAAAATGGATGATAGGGTACAGAAGTGGATGGGGTAGAACATCAAGAAAGCTGCTATGGCCTTGGGTGATCACTGATGTCATAAATAAGAGTGTCAATTGTTAAATCAACAACAGTAGTCACTGTGCACTTGTAGCTCATGTAGGACCTCTGTCCTTAATGAGTTGTACTATGAGAGTTAATGGTAAAACTAGTCTTCAAACAGTACTTTATATTTTGTGTGTCTGTGTGGGTGCAAACTGTTGAAATCTTTTTATTAAGATTTAATTTATTTATTTGAGAGGTAGAGTTATAGAAAGTGAGATGGAGAGACAGAGAGAAAGGTCTTTCTTCTGTTAGTTCACTCCCCAAATGGCTGCCACGGCCAGATCTGTGCAAATGTGAAGCCAGGAGCCAGGTGTTTCTTTTTGGTCTCCCATGCAGGTGCAGGGTCTCAAGCACTTGTACCATCTTCTACTGCTTTCCTAGACCACAGCAGAGAGCTGGATTGGAAGAGGAACAGCCGGGACTAGAACCGGTGCCCATGTGGGATGCAGGCGCCACAGGTGGAGGATTAACCTACTGTGCCACAGCGCTGGCCCCGAAGTCTTTACTTAGTATAGAGTTGATCTTCTGTATATAAAGATAATTAAAAATGAATCTTAATGAAGAATGGAATGGGAGAGGGAGTAGGAGGTAGGATGGGAGTGGGGGTGGAAGGGTAGGTATGGGAGGAAGAACGACTATATTCCAAAAGCTGTACCAATAAAATTTATATTTATTAAATAAAAGCTTTCTGAAAAAAAAAAGAAAGCTGCTATGTATAAGTGTGAAAAAAAAAAAAAAACAGTGATGTGGACGAAAGTGGTGCTGGTTGTAGTGTGGAGGAAATCAAGAGGGGCAGATGTGAACGTTATTTAGTGTGCAAATTCCAAAGACTTTGTTGATGGATTGAATGTGGGATTTGGCAGGATTAAATTTCCAAAGTGGGAGATGTCAAGGAACTTTTAGGTTTCTGCGTGTGCAACTGGAAGGAAGCAGGTGTTGTTCATGGAATTGGAACAAAGCAGAAGAGAATATCTGGGGAGAAGAGGTCATGAGTTTGGCTTTAGACAGGTTGAGTTTGAGGTACACCTGAACTGTCTCACAGAAGTTATCAGGCAGTTCTATATTCAGGTGTGGAACTCAGAGTGGTCTGTGCTAGAAATACAAATGTGGGAATGGCCCAAGTATAGCTTTTAATGCCAGGCAAAACTCTTGGGACATCCAGTGTGAGGTTGCAGATTTAACAGTCCTTAAGAAACTGTTTCCAGGAGGAGAAACCATTAAAAGAGACGGAGGCAATATCATCATGGAGCTAGACAGCATCAAAACATAAAAAGAATAGAAATGTAGAAGATGATGCCAAGAAGTCACATACAAGTTTTTCATAGTTATGGACATGAACTTAAAAGCTACTTTTCTGTGACATTAATGTCATTAGACTAGAAAGGACAAAGAGAGGAGAGGAGCTGAAGTAGTAATGCTAAGTATCTTCCAAGTGCTTTACAGACATATTATTCAGCTCTCAAAATAATTCTTACCATTGAAGAAAATAAAGTTCACAGAAGATGAGATGACTTTCCCAAGGTAACTCTGGAGGTAGCCAAAACAGCATTCAACACCCATCTTTAAAGATAACAGTTGAGTTTTGCTGTTGATGATACACATTTTTTATTATAAATGCAATGCTTCAAAATAAAAGTGTAATAAATTTTTAAATTGTTCCCGAAATGTTCAAAAGACTAAATAAAGCACCATGGTCTTAAAGTTCCCTATTTCATTTTGTCAATAAAAATATATTTTTAAAAGGTTATTATAAGAGACCTGCATGCTGTCCCATCCCTACTCTATTTCTACTCTGAAGAGAAACTACTTTTCACTCTTTTAACTGTTTGATCACTTTGGGATCTGTTGTATTATTTTCATATTTCTAAATATTATATCTATGCTGCTATTTATGAATTCATAATTCTTAGATAATAATTGTGTGCCTCCTGTTATGGTAGTATAGCACAATTATTCATGCCCATGTTCCTTCTCTTCCCACTCAATCAAGTTATATGATTCCAATGATAGAAAATCGTGTGCAGTTGTTTATTAGATATGTTGTATTATGTGTATATTTTATCAATTTACTTAATAGTTGCCTCATTTTAACTTGCATGCTTTTATTAAGCCTATCCTTAATCAAACCTCCCCTACCCCCACTACCTCATAAGAGGGATCACAAACCACCACTAGTAGTTTCAAAATGCTCATTTGTCCTCAAAGTCCTACTGTTCCCCAGAATTTTTATGCCTGGCTAGCTATGTTTTTGCTCTCTGTATTCAGCTTCCCTGGAGGTGCATTCTCTTTGGCACTCAGCCCCATCCTCTTTGAAAAATGGAATCTGTGAGCAAAGGATGGGAGCAATGCAATCCCTGGCCCCATCACTGAGACTTCAAGCCCTGACTGCATCAACTGTGAATATGAGGGTTTGTTCCCTTCAGAAGGCAGTGGAGAAAGGATGGAAAGATCGTGTTTGCACCCTAAAATTAGCTTGAGAGGCCACCGTTTGTTGTTGAGGATGTTGGTGTTGCCTCATCCCATCCGTCACCCAAGCACAGATACATTGATTTATGACAATAGTTCAGCTTTCCATGAAGACCCTCCCTCCCCAAGACTGATGCCATCATCATTCTCAGCTACAGGAACATCCAAATGAAGGCAGATTTCAAAACAGTCTGTGAACACTACACATTATTAATCCTGTATCAAACAAAATCATTCCTTAAAATGAAATTTATGTTTGGCAAGTTATTTTTCATAGTCTTAAAGCACATTATTAAATATTGTATGAGCAACTGCTGTCACTGTATCAGAAATACATCAGGGAATTGTATACACATTCTTAGAAAAATAATCAATGACTTGTAGAACAAAGCAAACTGGTTTACAATCACTAGGTAATCTATTTTTCCAAGGACTAATGCTGTTTCAAAAAACTATGTAATTCTAGGGCCGGCGCCGCGGCTCACTAGGCTAATTCTCCACCTGCGGTGCCGGCACCCCGGGTTCTAGTCCCAGTTGGGGCACCGGATTCTGTCCCGGTTGCTCCTCTTCCAGTCCAGCTCTCTGCTGTGGCCTGGGAGTGCAGTGGAGGATGACCCAAGTGCTTGGGCCCTGCACCCACATGGGAGACTGGGAGGAAGCACCTGGCTCCTGGCTTCGGATTGGTGCAGTGCGCTGGCTGTGGCGGCCATCTCGGGGGAGATTAACCAACGAAAGGAAGACCTTTCTTTCTGTCTCTCTCTCACTGTCTAACTCTGCCTGTCAAAAAAAAAAAATATGTAATTCTAATATACACAATTGAAAACCACATACTCGATCTAAATTCTACTTTCTGTAACATAAGTCTAAGCTGGATTTTATAAAGGATCATATATATTTTTTAAAGATTTAGTTATTTGAAAGTCAGTTATACAGAGAGAGAAGGAGAGGCAGAGAGAGAGGTCTTCGGTATTCCATCTGATGGTTCACTCCCCAGTTGGCCTCAACAGCTGGAGCTGTTCGGATTAGGAGCCAGGAGCTTCCTCTTGGTCTCTCACGTGGGTGCAGGGGCCCAAGGACTTGGGCCATCTTCTGCTGCTTTCCCAGGCCATAGCAGAGAGCTGGATCAGAAGTAGAGCAGCCGGGTCTCGAACCGGCGCCTATATGGGATGCCGGCACTTCAGGCAAGGGCATTAACCCGCTGCGCCACAGTGCTGGCCCCAGGATCATATTATTTTGCTCCAAAGACAAATGCAGATTTCTAGGTAAGGATGTACATAAAGCACAAAAAAATAGCAAATGATAAAAATCCCATAAACTGTGAGATCTCTTAGGTCATTCTCCACTAGACATTCCCTAACCCTATCCATTGATTTTCAAAGGGATGTCATGAGACCAGCAGCTTGAGAATCACTTCAGAAGTTGTCAGAAGTGCAAATTTTGGTTCCTCTCTCCAGACCTATGAAATCAGAGATAATGTTAGTGGGGCTCAGCAATCTGGACTAGAGCAGTTTATCTTGAACTTCACTGAGCATCAGAATCAACTGGACAGCTGCATGATGCATAAATTGCTGTGTTCAATCCTTAATCCAGTCATTCTCAGGTGAGGCTGATCATTCCGGTCAGGGATGACACTGAGAGCTAATGGTCTAGGCAAATTAAACACCATGTGAACTGAGTGAGTTACCATGTGGAATTTGGTTATCTTTGACCTGTGATGATTTCCTTTGGAAGATTTCATCTGATTTCCTCTGATGAATGTGTATGTAGGAAACAGAAGGTAGGATCAATCCCCCAAATAAACACTTATGGACACTTTCCTTGTGGAAGTCACAGACAGAAAAGAGTCAGCCACTTGGGGTTCACATATTAGCAGGAGAAAACACCACCAACAACTAAGCTCAATTTATGACTGATATGGATGCTCCAAACTGCTAAAAGGAGCACATATTGTGCTAACATAAGGGTCTAGTAGAGGAACTTGGCTGAGAAAATTAAGAATAAGTTCCTAGCTTCAATATAAAGAATGAGGCATTAGTTTTCTATTATTGCTGTAACAAATTACACGAACTTAGTGGTCTACACCACATTGTTTTATCTTACTCTTCTGTAGGGCAGTATGCCAAGCTGGAGCTCACTGGGCTGAAACCAAGCATTAGAGGGGCTGTGCTTCTTCCTGGGGGTTCTAGAACATAATCTATTCCCTTCCCAGCTTTGAAAAGCTGTCATTCTTCCTCTGGCCTTTCCTCTAATTTCAATACTGGCAACATTGTCTCTCTCTGTTCATCTTTTTCCTGGTCACAGCCCTAACTGGCTTTGCTCCTCTACATTTCTTCAGCCTTTTGGTTACACTGGTCCATCAGGATAATCCAGCTAATCTCCCCATTTTAAGGTCAATTTTTGTCCTATCTGCAACCTTTGTTACTCTTTGCTATACCCACATTCACAGGTTCTGGAGAGGAGGACATGAATACCTTTGGGGAGTAATACTCTACCCACGACAAATGATGTAAATTGGATAGACCTCAAAGAAAATTCAAAACACACTTCATTATGCAAAAAACATACATGAAACCAAAGGAATGATAAGAGCTAGGTGTTCGCAGCATGAACTGAGGCCAGTAGGATCTAAATGAGAAAGTAAGAAAGTATCTGGGGAAAGACAGGGATGGTGATTACAAGGTAGAGTCTCCAGAAGAAGTAAATTTACAGAGAAAATAATAGAATAATTTTAGCAGAAAAGAGAAAAAAACTAAGATGAAAATATGCTAGAATCATATTAAAGCAAATATACCCCAAAACTTTTATACAAATAATGGGAAGATACAGATAACTCTCAATTTTACTTATTTATTTTTAAAGATTTATTTATTTATTTGAGAGTCAGAGTTACACAGAGAGAGGAGAAGCAGAGGGAGGGAGGGAGGGAGGGAGGGAGGGAGAGGGAGAGGGAGAGGGAGAGGGAGAGAGAGAGAGAGAGAGAGAGAGAGAGAGAGAGAGAGAGAGAAAGAGGTCTTCCATCCACTAGTTCACTCCCCAATTGGCCGCAACATCTGGAGCTGTGCCAATCCGAAGCCAGGAGCCAGGAGTTTCTCCTGGGTCTCCCACACGGGTGCAGGGGCCCAAGGACTTGGGCCATCTTCTGCTGCTTTCCCAGGCCATAGTAGAGAGCTGGACTGGAAGTGGAGCAGCTGGGTCTTGAACCAGTGCCCAAATGGGATGCTAGCGCTTCAGTCCAGGGCATTAACCCACTGCGCCACAGCACCAGCCCCAACCAACTCTCAATTTTAAATAGAATATGTTGCTTTGTAATGATTCATGTATTTCTGGGAATGCTTAAAGTTATATTCAGATTCCTACATTTCTGCCAGAAATATCAATAGAATGGTCACTATTCTTGACAGTCACAAAATCGGAGTGCTTTTAGTAGGAAGAAGGAATGTTATCCTTATTATCAAACTGGTCTTATCTAGTTAATATAATGATTCTTAAGGGATAATTTCTCATTATCAAAAAACATTACATGGAAATTATAATTCAAAAGCATTATTTCTTTTTTTTTTCAAAAGCATTATTATTTCTTTCTGTAATCCAAATGTCCTGAGAGATACCCAGAATGGTCATCGGGACATAAGATAATTAGTCTATTTTGCCCTTTGGAAGTCACTATAAGGGTTTGCTGCTCTGAGCCCAGTTGCAGGAGCTCTTCTCAGACAGCCTGAAACTCCTGACATTACTTGGAAAACTTCCAGGTAGGTTCACTTTCCTCTTCTGGGGGAGGACAGGGAAGGTGATCATTTCTTTAATCAAATCTGACTTTAAAATACGTAAGAACTACCATTTTAGGGCTAATCTCTTCTCTTTTAATTCTCCCCATTAAGACTGGTTGTGCAAATTAATTTCCAATACAGCCATGCAAGCAAGTTAAAAATCTTAAAATTAGCATAGCCAAATATTAAACATGTATAAGTACTTATTTCATGTTGAAAATGGCTATAGAGACTAAAACAATTAGACAAAAGTAGCATCCGTATCTCATTCTAAAGAGAAGAAATCTATAGGTAAAAATTTTGGATAGTACATCTCCTTTATGTACTGGTAATGAAAGTGGATTGAAAAGCACATTTGTAGGTTTCTGACACATAATACACTTTTTGAAACATTCCCCCAAATACCCTCTAGACCCACTAAAGCCAGCATGAGCTTCAGTGAACTCAAGGCTAGGTTCACAATTGATTGCTCGGGATGTTGTGCCTGACTCATAGTGTGTCTCCAGAATAAAATGTTTGATGAGTGACTGATTACATGAATTAGAGGGGAATAAGATAAGAAGTTGAGTCCTGGGTTCCCATCCATTAAGAGAATTTGCTGCTCTTTTTTAGATATTTTCCCAAATGTCATCTATGTATTGTGAGGAGTCAATCATTTTTACTCTCATTTCTCCACCATAAAGACAGTAATACATGTTTCTTGTAGAAAAGGAAAATATGTGAGGCCAACACTGTGGCTCATTGGGTTAAGCAGCTACCTGCAAAGCCAGTATCCCATTCGAGCACAGGTTTGAGACTCCACTGCTCCCCTTCCCATCTTGCTCCCTGTTAATGCACCAGGGAAGGCAGTGCAAGGTGACCAAAGTGCTTGAGTTCCTGCCACCAACATGGAGACCCAGATGGAATTCCAGGCTCCTTGGTTCAGCCTGGCCCAACCCTAGCCATTGTGGCCATTTGGGGAATGAATCAGCAAACTTAACACCTCTCCTTCCACCCCCATAACTTTACATTTCAAATACATAGAATCTTTTTTTTAATGTGAACTGGTTCAAAGAGGAGCTAATGTGAAACAATACCATCATCACTGTCCATATTTGGCAAATATATGTCCAAATTCTGCTATTTCTTTGTCTCCCTCTTTCTATACACACACACACGCATGCACACACACACAAACACCATGGATTTATGTTAAATGTATGCATTTGCATGGCAGTAAATACTTTTTTGATAAAAGAAATAATACCTAAAATATGTTATAATTTTGTGATACTAGCACAATTTATGCAATGGTTAGTCTGGTTGATTAATGCCTAATTTCAATGATAACAATTTTGGTTTCTATATCCCTTTGCACTTATTTTCTTCTTGGGAAAAGTGTAAAAGTGTTATTTCTTCACCCAAAGTATACAATCATTTAACATTTTGATACATAGTGCCAAAATTATTGCTATACTAGTTTCATTAAGTTAAAGCTCCATCAACAGTACATTTCTCTTAGCAGTCAACCCTGGACACTTTCATTAATCTTTTTTCTAATCTCATAGATCATGTGTTGTGCATTGTTGTTAATCAATGGTATTAATGCCAGGAGTTGATTTGGACAGCATAATAAACAATAACCTCTTTGGAGAATTTTCTTTATTTTAATATCCATTGAAATATTTCTTTTAATAATGGAATTTTAAAACACTTCAGATTATATTATTTAAACAGTTTGACAATGTTTAGGGGTATATACTTTTTAAACCTTGCATATTAGCATGGACTAAATTATTGTGGACAACTAGAACCCTAAATATTTAATGGCTCAATTCGGTGAAGTTGTTTTGGAGTCCAGATGCCTTTAACCTTCTCTGTCTCCTTGGGTTTTAAAGCTATGCACAGCTTGAGGTGTGAAGAGAGTATGGAAGAGGCACATTCAACTTTCACAAGCCTCAGCCCAGAAGTTAGCACGAACTGCTCTCATTCATGTTTCATTGGCCAAAACATGTCATCTAGGACACCTAGGGACAAACAGGATGAAGAAATTCAGTTCCCAGCTGAGCTGCTACTTTCCACCACAACTGTGCACCACAGAAAGAATGAACAAATTTTAAGGGACAGAAACCATTTATGACATAACCTTTTTCTGATATTTTTGGCAAGCCGGGGTTTTTAAATTTTATGATGCTAAATCCATCACTCTGTTTCCTTTCCATTGTGCTTTCTGCTTCACTTAATGGGGGCATGGAGACTGAGTAGAAAGATCAGGCTAGCCTGTGTGATAGCCTTCTCGCTGGGGTACAGAAATTGGTGTCCTTGACTCCCAGCCCAACCAGGACTCAAGGGACAAAGATCACAGAGAAACAGGGCCCTGGGGGGAAGTGAGCCTCACCTCTGCATGTAGTAATCTCCCCTCACTGCACTTGCTCACTGCCAGTCAGTTCCAGTACAGCAAATGGCTCAGCAAGAGCAACTCAAAGGCTAACCCTTCAAGCAGAGAACACAGAGACTGGAGATCATGACCAGCTGAGATGTGACACATGCTATCTGTTCAGAGCCTGAAGGGTGGTGGTACTACAGGGGCAAGGCAAACAGAAACATTCAGCTGGTGTAACTGCCTGAATAATAGATGATCTCTTAAACAAAAATATCTGTCCACTCCACTGAAAAGCACTGTGTCTGTTTATGACTAGACTAATAAACCAATCGTAGAGAACCCAGAATGACTCAGTATTCCCCATGCTTTTCTCCTTCATCCTTTAATCTGCTTTGAAAATGGAAAGAAGGCTGGCAAACTGCCTTGAGCTTGGCAGGTGAGCTATTTTATCTGTTTCTCAATTTTTGTTCAAGAATGTGCATTTCATGTTCTGTGATGAGCTAGGCAGATTTCTGTGGGGTGCTGCAAAAATATTTTTCCTTCTTTCATCTTTTGTGAACCTTGGAAATCCCACAATTCTAGAATAGTTGATGGCTCATGTTTGACTTGGCTCCGGTTACAAACTGCAATTTTTATAGCAAAGTTTATAAGTGCTATTGGAAAACACATTGCAGAGGAGGCAACTGTTTGGGTATTTAATAAAAAATATAGCCCAAACACCTATTTTAATGTGACTGCATTGCTGGGAGCAAAAATGCATTCTCTTTTCAATTATATGTGCTGCATACTTGCACTCCAAGGCTAATCACCTGTGCTAATTTCATTGTTTTTAAATCACATTTTAAATTTAAAAACCTGGGACAGGCATATGGTGCAATGGTTAAGATGTCCACATCCCATATTACAGTGGTTGGTGTGAGTCCCTGCTCCACTTCTAATCCAGCTTCCTGCTAATGAGCACCCTGGTAGGCAGCAGATGATGGCTCAAGTACTCAGATCTCTGTCACCCACATGGGAGTCCTGGATGAAGGTCCAGTCTCCAGCTGTAGCAGGCATATGTGGAATGAGCCAGTAGATAGGTCTCTCTCTGCCTTTCAAACAGAATGAAAACAAATAGATACGATTTTTTTAAAAAAATTTAAAACTATTTCGTTAACTGTTTCCAAACACTTTCTGTTTTCATTCTTTTGGGAAAAAGTCAAAGAGGGGAAAAATCACTAGAAGCTAAATATTTCCATTTTTAAAAAAGATTTATTCATTTGAAACTCAGAGTTACAGAAAGAGAGAGAGAGACAAAGAGAGAGATCTCTTAGCCACTGGTTCATTCCACAGATGGCGCAAGGGCCAGGGCTGAGCCAGGCTGAAGTCAGGAGCCAAGAGCTTCATCTGGGTCTCCCATGGAGGTGCAGGGGCCCAAGTACTTGGGCCATTTTCCACTGCCTTTCCCAGGCTGTTAACAGGGACTGGGATTGGAAGCAGAGCAGCTGTTATAGGAAGACCCCCACAAGCCTGCAACGCCATAACAAATCAGCCTCTCTTTCCATGTTTCCAACAAATCAGAAGGCAATAAGCCTGTCTACAGAAAGCGTTTTTCAGGGGAACATTAATTTCTAATTATATTTTAGGAAACATACTTATTCTTCAGCAAAGAGAGTATTTTTTTTTAAGATAGATGATGAGAGCTTCTGCAAATGGAAGTTGCTGCAGAAAGTACGTAAGCGCAGTGAGGAGCACTCGGCCTCAGAAGACATCCGCATTGTAACACTCATTCCCACCACACTTGGACCACAGCACTTGAACTATTCAATTTCCTCTAATCATGGGTTTCCTCATCTTTAATGCTAGTTGGGTAAACCAATATTGAACATCTCTCCCAAGTCTGCAAATATTGTATTCAAAATGTTTCCAGCAAATTTGTCATATACTCAGGGAATTTTTGCTGATTTTTTTATTTTTTGTCCAAAAGGACTCCACTTAGAGCCGAACACCATCTCTATGAGAAAACTTTACTCTTCTCAAGAGGAAGAGTTAAGATTTTTTTTTTTAAAAAAAAAAAAGGCCCGTTTAACTGAATATAGTAAAAATTAATGTACTTTGACAACTTCCATAGACTTATAAACCCAGGATCTCTCTATACTGCTTAGACCTTCTAAATTACACATCTTTAATCTTTAATTTAAAAGTACAAATCTCTTATCTCACACCTCCTTCCCTTTGTGTGTGTGTTTATGTGTTTTCCCCTCATGAAATCATTCATATTATAATGATTTTAAATGCTATAGACCTCCAAATGTGTCCCAGTTATGAAAGCCTTAGTCTCCTTTTTCATTAAGACAAACATTTCTTTGTATTAAGGTTGAGGAAAGTATCCTTTCATTTTATTAATTTTAATATTTTATTTAGGAATAATTGTTATATTGTAGCTCTTCAAGTTTAATTATGGTGTTTCCAAAATCTGTGTGGGAATTGGCACAGGCTCTTTGTCCTTGGGAACTGGCCTAGCCCACAGACAGAAAACTGTGATGAAACCATGCTGCCTCAGCACCGAAGGACCTCCTCCCCAGCTACTGGCAGCACTGCCTGCTCAAGCCTCCTCACCCTCCACCACTGTCAGCCCTCTGTAGGAACTGCCTTTAGCAGCAGAGTTGCCTAACCCAAGAGCACGCCAGATGCCTAAGCTCATATCCAACCACTAGTCAATGAGAGGTGCCCCAGTTTAGAATAATATAAAGAGTTATCTTACTTACAGGGATCATAGTATCACCAGGGAGGCTCTCACAGCTCAGCTTCTCCTCCTCTGCCCCTGGCATTGATGCTGAGAGCCCCTCCCCGATGCACTTCCTTCAGGCTTACTCTCCATCCCGAAGTTGGCTTCCGAGGGTACCTAACAAGAGAACCTACACACTGAGCATCATTTGACAACTATTGTAGAACATACTGGGCAAAACTGAGAAATAGCAGGGTTTATTATGGGAGAGATAATGGGCAGAGCACAGTCTTTGAACTTATAACATGAAGACAAACATTGATAGTGATTTGGCACTGTGTGCCATCATCATGCAATTTTTCATCTGCTACAATCGTGATATGACTTCCTCAAGACACTGATAGTTCTATGTTGTACCTGGGCCAATTTAATTGGCCCGGGGCAAATTGCTGATTTTTCTTTTTATCTTTTCAAGTTCCACATTGTTTATTATATATTCCATATTGCCATAAGATGGGGCTTAATTCTGTATTTCTTTCTGGTAAATTTTTTGGCTAGCATACATACAAAATATACAGCTTGATGACTTTCCAAAGGGTTAATATTCTATATAACTTAACAAAAATATATACTACATTACTAGTGTCCCTGAAATCTCTTTTGCTCCCTTCTAGTCCTACTAAAAGTAATTATTTCAATATTTCCCACCATGTTAGTTTTGTATTTGAATTTTATGTCAATGGAAAAAAATTATACATTCTCCATGCTTGTATTTCCATCATGATTTTTCATTTAGTGTTTTGTTCATGAGATTCATCCGTACTGTTGAGTATTGTGTGTTTTCACTTTTATTGTATACAGTTACAATGTATACCTCTACTATAGTTTATCTACTCATTTTTTTTGCTGTTGAAAATTGTGATGTTTCCAATTTATTGCTATTATGAATGGTAAAATTGTGACCGTGTGTGTGTGTGTGTGTGTGTGTGGTTCTGTTGGTCTATGCCTAGGAACAGAAGTGGTGCTTCACAGGCATATGTGGATATATATTTCAACTTCAGTAGATATAGAAAACAGTAATCCAAGGTGATTGTACCAGCTGGCACATCCACTAGCAGCATTTGAGTTCTACTTGCTCCTCATCCCTATCAATACTTGGCATCTCATATACATAACAAATACACACACACACACACAGAGGCGCTACATTTTGGAGGAGGTGTAGTGTTACTTCAGTGTGATTTTTACTTGAATTTCTCTGAGATCTAATTATGTTGGGCAATATTTCAAATATTGGCCATTTAGATAGTCTTTTGTGAAGATATTTCCATTTTTTTTTCTTTTTTGTCCATTTCTTCTATTGACTTATCTTTTCCTTTTTAATTTTCAGGAACTGTTTATATATTCCCTGCATAAATCCTATGTCAAATACATTTACTGCAAATATCATACTTCATTGCATGACTTGCCTTTTCATACTTTTAATGGTGCTGTTTGAATGAACAGGAATTCCTTTAGTTCAAAATGTTAATTATTTGAGAAAGAGAAAGAGAATGCGTTTAATTACTAGTTCATTCCCCAAATGCCTGCAACAACTGGAGCTAAGCCAGGCTGGAACTGAGAACTAGAAACTCAGTACAAGTTTCCCACATAAGTGCAGTGACCCAACAACTTGAGTCATCATCTGCTGCTCCCAGGGTCCATGCATTAGCAGAAAGTTGGTATGGTGAGGATCCAGGACATGAACCCAGGCAATAAAATATGGGAAACAGTTGTCCCAACGGGCATCATAGATTAAATGCCTACTCCTGGTATTCTTATTTTTAATACAGTGAAGTTTATCAACATTTTCCATTTTTGCTTCAAAGAATTAAGGAATTGAATTAAAATATTTTACTGTGTAGTAAAATTTTGAAATTCATGCATAGTTTTTTCAAAATACTCATTTTCTGTTAATTTTTAAAGACCTGTCTGTGAATGTATTTCAAAAGTTCTTTTGCTCCAAAAAAATGTGACTTTTATTTCCAGTTTCTAATTAACTTTTTGTAGCATCCTTATATATAATGTGAAAAGCAGTGTAATCTGTATCTGTTGATATAAATGTACCCTAAAAGCAAACCAAGAAGAAATCAGCGCAAATCAGTTATAGGAAGCACATACTGAAGGCATAAGTTTTATGTGAATATGAGACCTGAATATCTGTAATACTGGTATCAAATAATATTGATTCTTGGTGTAATGATTAAAACATTTAATACTATCTGATATTCTATAGCAATTACATTCAATCTATATGATTACAAAGAATCAAAGATTGGACATAAAAATTTGGTCATCTCAGACTATTGTAGGATTATGATAATAACAAAGTAACAAAACTGTATATTTTAGCCTTTGGCTCCAGGATACTTTCTGGTCAAAAAACTAAGCCAAACTGAAATGAGATTATCTGCAAACATTTGTGACACATTCTTGACTCAGTTCATGAAATCAAGAGCTATGACTGCTATCTTTTGAAAAACGGAAAAAATAAGCAAATCTCCGCTACATAAAAACTGATAGCATATTTCAATTCCTGAACAACTTATTGAAATGTTTTGTCTCTCATATGTACGTAAATAAATGCACCATTGGGGGAAAAACAAATCAATAAGTGGAATAATAAGATAACATGTCTGTCAAAGTGTCTAACAGTGCTATAAACTGAGTTATATATTTCATATTTCTGTTCATAATTTGAATGTTTTGGAATTATAATTCAATGCTTATTGCATAATAAATGGCATTAAAATAAAATGACAATCAACTTGACTAATTGATCTTGAATGTTAGGTAATTCAGAACTTTAAAAATACTACAGTGATATTTTCTAGGAAATAGAAATTAAATTTATCTTATTTAACCTAAATTGATGTTATAGAAATGTCAAAGATGTCTTCAACATTGGAATATTAAAAGGACAGTCTATGCAAAGTGTCCATTTTGAAATTTAGCTTTAAAATGCTGTTCTACTGTATTGCCATATATTCAGGGGGAAAAAAGTCATAGCTATTGATGAACTGACATTAAGGAAGGAATCATTTCCCAGAATGGAGACTGAGTAATGCAATAGAATTGCTGGGAGAGTGAATTATCTTGGAGTGCAATACAAGAAAAAGCCACACTCCTGTCATAACACCCTGTCACACAGGTCTGCTGGGATCATAATCACTTTGAGAACATCTTTCTACAGACTATACATGCTAAGAAACAAGAATTTCACCCATCTATGGCTCATTAACCACTTAAAGCACTTTCTCTCAACAGAAACCTGGTTGTGAGTAGTTTGGGAGGATTGTGCAACTTACAACCTATTCCCTTCCTTCTTTCCTTTCCCTGGGGCAAGACACGTCCACAATACCCTCTTTGTTCCCTATGAATTTCACTGCTCAGTTGAAATATTTCATTTCACTCAGTTTCCCTCTGTGGATGCGTATGTCCTCTGTATTCACCCATCTCCTTCCTTTTTATCTACCAGTTATGGCCCCATGTCCTTGGAAAATTTCTCTTTGAAGACTAGGGTCAGGTTCATGGCATGCCACCTTTGAAGCTGCATAGCACCCTAGATCAGAAGGCCTCCATGCTTGGCATATGCTCTGTGGTCACTGTCATGATATTCTTAATAATTTTACATTTGATCTTGTGTTGTGTAACTGAAGTCTAACAGAACATTGTGGCATGTATATATTCATTTTCACTCTCCTTTCCTCCTCTGATAGTATCTAATTCTTGCAATGCCCCCATGAACATAAAATTCCTGTGAACCACAATACATGAGAATTCAGTAAGACTCAGAGTGAGTTTGAGAAAATGTGGTAAATCCATGCTTGGCTGTGGACACGGGCAGCCCCAGAAGGTCAAACGTGTTCTGCTTGAACTAGAAATTTCTCCACAGATGGAAGAAAACTACCAAGGAATCCTATCATATTCTTTCCTTGTTATCTTAAGTCTTTGTTTTAGCTAGTTGTATTGAAAATGAAGACACAGAAGGCAAGGGAGAGACAAGGCAATCCACTGATCATTTTCCTTTCAGTCTCTCCTATGCATCAGTAAACTGAAGGTAGTGTATTGGGAGAATAAGTGCCTATCAAGGTGTAGAATAAAAGCAGTTGAGTTAGTCTGTGTAACTCTCTACTTAAAAACTAAATACACTTTGCGGCGCCGGCACACCGGGTTCTAGTCCCAGTCAGGGCGCCGGATTCTTTCCTGGTTGCCCTCTTCCAGGCCAGCTCTCTGCTGTGGCCAGGGAGTGCAGTGGAGGATGGCCCAAGTCCTTGGGCCCTGCACCCCATGGGAGACCAGGATAAGTACCTGGCTCCTGCCATCGGATCAGCACGGTGCGCCAGCCGCAGCGTGCCAGCCGTGGTGGCCACTGGAGGGTGAACCAACGGCAAAGGAAGACCTTTCTCTCTGTCTCCCTCTCTCACTGTCCACTCTGCCTGTCAAAAAAAAAAAAAAAGAAGAAGAAGAAGAAGAACTAAATACAGGGGCTGGCACTGTGGCACAGCAGGTTAACGCCCTGGCCTGAAGTGCCAGCATCCCATATGGGTGCCAGTTCTAATCCCGGCTGCTCCTCTTCTGATCCAGCTCTCTGCTATGGCCTGGGATAGCAATAGAAGATGGCCCTAGTCCTTGGGCCCTGGTACCCGCGTGGGAGACCCGGAAGAAGCTCCTGGCTCCTGGCTTCAGATCGGCACAGCTCCGGCCATTGCAGCCACCTGGGGAGCGAACCAGCAGATGGAAGACCTCTCTCTCTGTCTCTACCTCTCTAACTCTGTCCTTCAAATACATAAAATAAATCTTTTTTTAAAAAAAAAGAAGTAAATACATATTCACATATGAGGTACCAAATAAAGTTGTACGATTGCAATGATTTCACATATGAATTAAATGATCTTACATTTGCATTTAAAATAATCACTGTACAATATCAAGATGAAAGATATAATTTATGCATATAATTTAAGATTTTTTTCTGTACTTAGAAGGACATTACATAGCAAATAAAAATTCAATGAAAATTTGAAGAAAATTACAGGAGAGCTGCATGCTTCAATATCTTTGATTGAACTTGTTTTTTGAATTATGGTACTGCATTTTCATTTTTCTCTAGGTTCTGCACATCATGTGGCTAGCTCTATTGAGGAGGCTGAGGTTGGAACTGTGCACCTTATTCTTAAAAACCAACCATGGCTGAGAAGCATTATATCAATGCTAGTAATATTCCTCAATTATGGAAAAAGAAGCTCAAACTGGTAGCTTTTTAGAAATTCCTTGAAAATACTTTCGCATTTCCAAGAACTTTTAGATAAAATTCATACCACTTTAAACAAGAATAACAAGAAAATTCCATAAACTTTTTATTTAATGTATACAAAGTTCATACATTCCATAAATACAACTTTAGGAACATAGTGACTCTTCCCACCCTACCCGCCCTCCCACCCTTCTTGATTGATTCCCATCCTTCTTTCTCCTCCCTCTGCTATTCCCATTCTTATTTTTTACTAAGATTGATTTTCAATTAACTTTATACACATAAGAGTATACTAAGTAAACAGTTCAACAAATAGAAAAAAAATCTGTTACTCAACAGTCAAGACAAAGTCTGTCATCGCATTTCAAAGTGTCAATTTCACTTCCATAGATTATCTTTTAGGTGCTCTGCGAATTACCACAGATCAGAGAACATATGGTACTTGACCTTTTAGGACTGGCTTATTTCACTAAGTATAATGTTTTCCAGTTGCATCCATTTTGTTGCAAACAGGATCTCCTTTTTTATTGGTCTGTAGTATTCCATAGTAGACATAGCCCAAAATTTCTTTATCTAGTCTCCAGTTGACAGACATTTGGGTTGATTTCGTATCTTAGCTATTGTGAATTGAGCTGCAATAAACATGGGGGTGCAGCTAACTTTCATATGATGATTTCATTTCCCTTAGGTAAAGTTCCAGAAGTAGAATAGCTCGTTCATACAGTAGGTCTACATTCAGATTTCTGAGGTATCTCCATAGGGTCTTCCACAGTGGCTGTACTAGTTTACATTCCCACCAACAGTGGATTAGGGTACCTTTTTCCTCACATCCTCACCAGCATTTGTTGTTTGTTGACTTCTGTATGAAAGCCATTCTAACTCATGTGAGGTTAAACCTCATTGCAGTTTGATTTGCATTTCCCTGATGGCTAGTGATCCTGAGCATTTTTTTCACGTGTCTGTTGGACATTTGGACTTCCTATCTTAAAAAATGCCTTGTTAAGTCCTTTGCCCATTACTTAACTGGGTTGTTGGTTTTGTTGTTGAGTTTCTTGAGTTATTTACATATTTTGGATAGTAATCCTTTATCAGATGGTGGAATAGGGAGGGAGCTTACTAACAGAGTAATTTAAAAAAAATTTTTTTCTCTAATGGTATCAGTTATTTCATCACAAGGACTATATATTTTTTTCTACTGATCTTCCCTGAAAATCTATAGTATTTCAGTTGTCCTGTGATCAGCCAGCATGGGGACTACAACAGCCATGTGTTTTCTGGGTTGCACTGGGGGTCTGAGCATCACTTCAGGCTCCAGAGGAAAATGTGTGTTAACTACCAAACAAAAAATTGATAAACTATCTTCAGTGCCATGGCCTGTGTGTTAAGTGAAGAGCTCCGTGATTTTAGTTTACATTTTCTCACAGCTCAAATATGATGCTCAAGATACTGGATTTGTTTCATGATTGAAAATTTATCTAGATTTGAGGGCTTTGTATGCTGTTTTCCTATGGCTTGGTTCTGAAGTTTGGTCAAGAAGAGGTAAGACAAATGAATAGCAAGCAGAAAAATAGCAAGAAAGGAAAGTTCGCATTTTGTGCCTTTTTTTCTAGCACATTTTGATTATAGAACATGGTTTTTTTTTTTTCCTTTTTTTTTTTTTTAGCAAAAGTAGAGACTATCACAGATTGTATGCAAAAAGAGAAGTTGGGGCAGTGCTGTGGTGCTGTGGCATAGCGAGTTAAGCTACTGCCTGCAATGCCAGCATCCCACAAGTATGCCCCTTTGAGTCCCAGTTGCTCCACTTCTGACCCAGATCCCTGTTACTGTACCTGGTAAAGCAGCACAAGATAGCCCAAGTGCTTGGGTCCCGGCACCCATGTGTGAGAACCAGATAGGAGTTTCAGGCTCCTGGCAGCCACTGCTGCCATTTGGGGAGTGAAACAGCAGATGGAAGATCTCTTGCTCTGCCTCCCTGTCTGTCTGACTCTGCCATTCAAGTAAATACAAAATGGTTTTTAAAAGGAGAGTCTCTCATTTCTCTTATTGGATCTTCAGTGCTTATTTGTAGCAACTGTCCATAATACAATCTTGGTTTAATTCCACACCATTCAGAAATCAGTTGTTTATTTTTACAGACTCTTTTTCTCTCAAGATGCTATTGGATTAAACTTATTTCCCAGGTTAATAACTTATTATTGATGTAACAAAGACATAAGTCTCAGCCATTCTTACTCATTGCCCAAAAGATAGATAAACACTGGCATGTATTCCTTACCCTTGAATCTCAATTGGATCTCACATCCTATTGCCTGCATACCCCACTCCCACAGCCATCTGAAAGACCAGTTGCTGGAACACTTGAAAGACCAGTTCCGGGAATTCCCCTCCACCTGCTGCTCCCTAATCCCACCCCCGCCTCTAGCCCTCCTAAAATATAAACAGGCCAGGACCCCCAGGACCGGGGGTCAGGGCCTCCTGCCACGTGTTCCATCAATGTGCAGGAGGGCAGTTGGTCATTCACCTCTTCTAATTTATTTTCTCTGAATAAATTCAGTCTGGCTGTAAATTCATTCACTGCCTCCTCTCTATTCTGCACCTCTTTTCCTAACATTTATGGTGCCCCGTGTGAGGAGGCACCAATCTGCAACTCTTTTCCTAACAATTATAAAAACTTATTTTTGTGTTTTAAGAAAGCAACTTTAAGGCAGAAACTGAAGTCACAGCTACATCACTGTCACAACGGGAAACCGAGGAAACAGGACATGATGAAGATTCAGAGACCTCTAGCCGGGAGACCATTACCTTGTCACACATCAGCAACATCAGAACGCAAACACCAGCGGACTCCGAGCATTTCCTGTGTCCCAGATGTCTTCAAAAACCATTGCTGCAGAGTCTCCTCAGGGTACCTCATCCTGTGAGATAACACGAAATTCTCACTTGACCCAGGCAGCAGCACCAACACACTCCTCACCACACCCTACCCCAAGCACTGAAAAACCCCAGTCGGCACATTGCTATATGTAAGGCAGTATTCAGCACCACGTGTCTAAGGGATTCAGGGGTGCTCCCTAACCCCGACGATGCTTCTAGAAGGGAGTCGAGGGAGTAGCGGGGAGCCGGCTCGCTGGGGGCTCCGAGAGACCCCTGCTCCCTTAGCCCAGCACGAGTCTCCCCCCCTGAGTGTGACCAAGCACAAATCAGTTAGCCTCTGCTGCCCCGCCAGTGGGTCTCGGGCTACTTGTTTGCAAGACGAGAAACTTGGACGAAGTTCTCTCAGACTTCCCTGAACTAACTCTGCAGGTAACAGTGAATACCAGTATGAATCAGGAAAGGTAAGTCAACCACCTCTCGTGGGCCGGGAGAAGCTGAGCTACTGCGTTAAATGTAGGGACCTGTAGGCAGCTAATCCCACGGCCCTAGCATACGGGGTCACGGTACCGAACAGCGAGTTTCAGGGTCCGGAACAGGAAGCCAAAGCGGATGTCGCCCCTCTTCCGGAAGTCCCGCCCACTCCAGGAAGCGAGTCCCAGTCGCTCCTCCCGCCATGCCCTTTACGACAACAGCGAACTACTTTTCCCAGAATGCCATTCAACTCTCCTCGCGGAGCACCAATGGGCGCCCGGGTTGACGCCATCAGTCGGCGCGGTGTACCAGGCTTCAGTGATGTCGTGGCGCTTGGGGTGAAGGAGTTGGTGCTTCGCGGCGCCCTGGGACTGAAGACGCGGTCCGGGTGACCTCTGGCCCTTTCCTAACTTCTCTACCCCCGCCTGCCTTTTTCCTCCCTCTTCTGGCGGGATGAGGCGTGCAGGCCTGGGTAAGAAGAGGTCCGAGGTGCGAAGTGGGGAGCCCCAGAGCCGGCCTTGGTCGGCGCGGGAGAAAATCGCCCTGGTGTCCTGTCACTCGGCATCTGGTCCAGAAACGGCGTGTGTGGAGGGGAGCCATGCAGGCGGTGCCTAGTGGAAGCACGTCATTTGTCCTAGATCTTACGGGGGGATCCTTAGGTTTGGTCTCCGGACCCGAGTCTTGGAGAGTAGCATAGGACTGGGGTGCGGTATATGCAGGTGCCAGCTCAGTCGTCGGACTGTGTGCTGTGTGGTGGCCTGGCCTCTCTGCTGTTTCTGCTTTCCTGCTGCCTCTGCCTCTTAGAAGGGAGATACGAAGAGTGGGGTTGCATGCTAAGCGCTTCCACAGTGATTATGTGAGTCGGCTAGCAGTGAGTGACAAAGGTACATGTACACGTCGTTACCTTACAGGCCTTGGGGTGTAAGGTCGGGGTCAAAGGCAGTGTGCCTGGAGCATTTCTTATCTGAACCTCTTCCACTGGTTAGCAGCTGTCGGGACTACCTCTTATGGTTCTGAAGCTCTGTACTAGGAGATGGTTAAACACGAGGAGGAGGAGGAGAAAGAAGAGAAAGAACCCTGCTCTATCAGTGCAGCGTGATTGAGAGTATATGTGAGCATTGGCGAAAGATGACTGTCTCTGCCAGCCGTGGTAATAACTTCGCAAAAACGAAAACAAGGCTTACGAAAAGTGTCAACTTTAAGGTCAATGAAAGTTGTCAGTGTGTCAGTGTTCTTTCTTAGTGCAGTTTTTGTGAATCTGTGGTTGGAGAAAGCCAGGTAAATTGAAGACAGAAAAGAATGTTGATCAAGTTTAGTTTTCACCAGCCTATGTGTTTTCTCAGTGTCTTTAGGTTGTATACCTGAATGAGCTCTAGCTATATAGTTGTTTTGTTACTTTCTTGGTGCTCCCCACAGCTGGGAAGTAGGAAAATGTGCAAAGGTAAATTATGGTACAAGGTGGCAGCTATACATCCAAACACAAGATAATGTTCTGCAGATAATGTCTCAGAAATTGCAGAGATGGTGACCTTGAACTAGACCATGAATAATGAAGTTAGGAAAGATGAGTTTCAGGTGAGAGGATCACTAAAAAAGAAAAGAAAAAACAAAGAGCATAGAACTAGGATTATGTAGCTAAGGAATTATGACTCAACCAATTTGATTGAACCAAGAAACATGAGACCACATTGTGGAGATTGCATTATAGGCCAAGGAGTTTAGATTTCCTAAATTGCCCTTGAGGCCCACTTATTTTTTGCACTGCACTCTCCCTGGTTAAGTTGCAGGAAGGGGACTTGAGAAGTAATTGTTCTCAGTCCTGATAGCACATCGATTAAGGAACTGTTGCTATAATTTACATTGTTATGAAGTGACGGTTTTTTTTTAAAAAACTTGAAGTGCCAGTGTGAAATGACCTGCAATTTTAGATTTGGAATAATAATGAATTTGATAGATATTCATGTGAAGAATATTTGTGTTGGTGGATGATGTTTTTTGCTTTTTTTTTTTTTTTTTTCAAATATTTATTTATTTGACAGGCAGGGTGACAGATCTTTTGTTTGCTAGTTTACTCCCCAGATGGCCTCAACAGCTAAAACTGGGCTAAACTAAAGCCAGGAGTCAGGAACTCCATCTGGGTCTCCTGCATGGATGGCAGTTTGGCTCCTCCCCCACTGCCTTTCCAGCCACGTTAGTAGGGAGCTGCTTTGGGAGCAGAGTAGCCAGGACTTGAACAGGCATCTGATAAGGGATGCCCAGCATGGCAAGCAGTGGCCTAATTTGCTACACCATGAGTCCATCCCTGGGGGAGGGTGATAGCTGAGAGAAGGTAAAACTCTAATAGAAATATGCACTGAAAGATTTCCAGACAAGAAATAAAATGAGAATTTCATTTTAAATAGATGGAACAGGGACAGGTATTTGACCTAAGTAGTTAAGCCACTGGTTGGGGCAACTTTGTTGAAATGCTTGGTTTCTTGTCCTGGCTCTGCCGCCAGTTCCAGCTTCCTGCCAGCGCAAACCCTGGGAAGGTAGCAGGTGACTGCTTGAGTAGTTGGGTCCCTGGCATCCTTGGGGGAGCCCTGGATCTAGTCTCCAGTTCTTGACTTCCGCCTGGCTCAGCCCTGCTGTTCATTTCGGGGCACAGACTGGCCTAAGGGAGCTCTCTGTCTCTTTGCTTCTCAAAATTTTTTTAATGAATAAATGAAGCAATATAAAAGAAATCTAAAACTAAAATTAATGTATGTGAAAAGACCCAAACAAAGGACATATAGTAAGTAGCCATTCATTTAGAACTTGAAGAAGTTCTAGAATTTCTTGAAGTTACAAAGTGATTGAATCCAACCAGTCAGTAATTACTTATTGGGCAATGTTATATACTTTGGCTCTTAAACATATAAAATAAGTAGAAGATGTTTCCATTTCCTTGAGGATGTTGATCATTATTATAGATTGCACAGACTATTCATTAATAAAGTTGCATTTTTCAAGACAATGATTTTAGTTGTTGAGTGGGGGGAAAATGAGCCCAGTCTTTAAATTCATAACACATTAGCTGTATGGACAGTGTGTCAGCTGTTGGGGGAGAATTTGAGAATTTGGGTAGTGTAACTCTCTTGTTTGGATTGTACTTATTTAACATTTTGTTGGGGTGAAGACTGTGGGTGTTTGCCACCTGTAAAGCGCTCATTAGGTCCTGGGGAGATGTAGAAGAAGCATGTGAGGCACTGTCTCTGACCTCAGGGAAACATGGGATGCCATTCTTGACAAGCGTGCACATTCAGAGCTGAGGAGCAGTGAATTCAGATTCTGCTCATTAATCTGTTCATTTGCAAGTATTCACTGAGTATGCCTTATATTGCATGTGTTTTCTACTTTTATGGAGTAGTACAATTACAAGTAGAACAGACTTAGTTTCTGTCCTGCCTGGTAGTACAATCTAGAAAGCAGTGCTAGTGTTACATATAGTCGACACAGTAAGAATTCAGAGGGGTTTTTGCTTCTTAGGACAAATGACATTTATGCTGTGCCTTAGAGCTTCTTGCTCACACCTTCAACCTTAGCCATCATTCACCTACCTGCTACCTCCTCTCCTTCTAGCTCTTGCTGTTACTGCCCCTCCATCTGCTCTTTGAGCTATTGGAGACCTCTAGTTTTCATATTATTCCTTTGCCCCAAATTCCCAGAGCACTGTGGAATCTGCTTCATCCCTGTCCTGTCTGTGCCCCATAATCCATGTCTCCAACTGTTCCCTTGGAAAGCAGTTTCGATCTTTGGGAGGTTGTTTTCTGCAGTGCATATACTGTACTCTTCCAGCATTAGATCAGTCTAAATATCCACCCTCTGCTGGACCAGCTCAGGCTGATGAACTGTTCTGTAGAAAAATCACACAGGTGGGAGGATGGAAGCTCCTGTAGTTTGCTCCTTCCACCAGCTTTGTGTTATCCCCTGGACACGGTCCTCCATTGTCCTCCTTACTGTGTTCCCAAATGATCACCCTTCTTCAACAGAGAGCGCCTTTTCTCTCTCTACTGGGACAGTTGACATCAGTTATTATAAAAGGAATGGCTGAAAAGCACCTTAAGCCACACTTTTCTGTAGGTATTCACTAAGTCTTCCTCCAAGTGTTGTTTAATTGCCTGATGAAAATCAAATGCCACCTTAGGCAGAGTGAAATGGTTTTCTAAATGTCATCTCCTACATGAACTCCATCAAAGTAGCGTCAAGTAAGAATACTATTGAATGAATGGCCCCCCTCTTCACTCTCTGCTAATATGCTTCATTAGTTATTCTACCTCTTTGCTGGAGCCTCACCCACCTCTTCCCATCAAGCTCTCTATAAAACAGAAAAAATATATCATAAAGATACCCCTTCTACCTGCTCTTATATTATTCTTTGTCCCTTTCCTTCCTAGCCAAGCTTCTTCAGTAGGTTGTTGATGTTGCTACTTTTAGATCTTTTATTTAAAAGTGTATTTCTATGGAGCAAGGACGGTACCCTGGATATTTTTGTTTATCAATACCTATTAGTGTCTTCTGGTCAATCAGTAACATCAATAAATGTGTATTGAAATTAATTTAATATTCTTAAGAGAGGATATTGGGAAGTATTGCTCTGATCTCTAGTTACTACTTTCAAAAATTCACTTGGAATGTGAATATTATAGGCATACATGGTCTGCAACGCCCTCCAGGGGTCTTTTTTGGTTCTTTCCTATTAGCCTTGCAAAAGTGGCTTCTGGTTTTGCTAGAGCTACCCTTGTTACTCTGCTCTTTGCAGGTGAAGGAGTACCTCCTGGCAACTATGGGAGCTATGGCTATGCTAACAGTGGGTATAGTGCCTGTGAAGAAGAAAACGAGAGACTCACTGAAAGCCTGAGAAGCAAAGTAACTGCTATAAAGTCTGTAAGTATATGACAGATACTGTATGCATTTTCACTTATTTGTGTATGTATCATATACATATAAACTGTATTTTAGTAGCATCATTCTAAGGATGCCTAAATACTATGGTTCAGTGAGTTCAAAGTGCTCTCACAATTTAGACCATACTTTGGGTTAGGAAATGTGGCAAATCAAAATATATGGTACTGATACAGATTTTAAAACTTCAGTTTTTTGTGATAAAAATCTAAAAAATATTGTATGTTGTGTGCAGTA